CTGTGTGTGTGTGTGTGTGGGAAGAGAGAGAGAGCGTTTACTGTACCCTGACATTTTGTTCTTCATTTTACTTTTTTCCTCGTTTCTAATTTATATTTTTTCTTCCTTCTTCGATATTGTCCTTTCTTCCTTGCTCACGCCAATAAAGCACATAGGACTGAAAATTGAAATAGAGCAAATGGCAAATGTGAAAAATCGGAATCGCCGATGCATGTGTTTCTTTCTCTCCCATTGTGTATATTGCTTCAAGTCCATGAAGTTAGAAAAGTGCTAAAGACAGGAGAAAAGGACAAAAGATGTCATGTTTGCATAAGTAAAAGAACAATGTTTCAGTTCCTTCTCTGGGGAAGATGACTTGAGTAATTTTAGCACACTGCAGAATACTGACACACAGTTTGTGGAGTCACCTCAGTGGAAGACTTGAACTTGGAAGTGCGCATACGTGTTTGTCTCAGTTGTATTTCTTAAAGAATGAAACAAACAAAGTTTAATGGCACACTGTAAAATCAACATATATCCCCTCTTTGGATGTGTATTGTGGGCCCCCAGGCGAACCCTGGAATCAAACTCACTTACTTACTCTATTTCTTTGCAGCTTTCAGCTGTCATTAATAGTATAGGTTATATAGCTGTAATTTATGACATCATTTGCCATAGATAGTCATTGAAGACACTTTTTACTACATGAACAGGTCAGTGAACTTCTTTTGCACCAGGAGTAATTGTTTGGAACATTAAAAATGTGCTGTCTCCTCAGAAGATGAAAGGAGAAAATAAAAAAGAGAGAAATACTGCAGTATGTCTGCTCACTTTTTAGTCTACATACATAGATACGGTAGATGTAGTATGCATACTATATAGTATTATATACAGGGAAGGGACACTTTCCTCAGCTATAAAACACATTTCTCACTCTGTAACATATCGATTGTGTTATTTTCCTTAGGCTGTAGCGATTGCTTGATCATTTTCTTTGTCTATTTAAATCTTGCACTTGATGCTGACTCTCACATTGTCTCTGTTTTCTTTATGTTTTTGTCTATTGAACCTTGATGAAAAGATGATTTTGCTCCAAAATGCCTACAGCACTGCCCCTTGTGCCAGATGGAGTAATAGGTGTTCTTTTTTCCTCCGCAGGCATTTCTCATGTCTGTCCGGCAAGTACATGTGTCCTGGTGTACCAGCAGTGATGAGCAACCTGCTCGCCAATATCAATGCCTACTTCGCCCACACCACCACCACCACCACAACCACAGCCTCTGCTTCTGACAGATTCGCTGCCTCTAACTTTGGAGTAAGTGTGCTTATGCTTGTAATCTGACATGTGAAAACAGTAAAACAGTGATTTATAGTAATACAATGCTAAAAAAGGGTTATATATGGTCTTTAGTTAAAACATCTGTTGCTCTCTTGTATCCCGTTTAAGTATCAGAGGTAGCCACCACTTCCTAATTGAACTTTTAATATGCTAATGTTATTAGGCATCCAATAACATTTCCAGGCAGAAAGCCGAGCTGGCAGTATGGCTGCATCACAACATTTTGTTCCAGGAAGTGAAAATGAATCACTTCGGGCAAAGTGATGCTTGAGTCCACTCAGTGTTATACATTTTTCAGTTAAAATGCTTTCGATGTTTTGACAATGAAGTGAATTATGTCATTGTTTTCCTGACAGAGGGAGAAATTTGTCAAACTACTGGATCAGCTGCATAACTCACTGAGGATCGATCTCTCCAAATATCGGGTACGTGTGAGCTTTTTTACATGTGATGCGTTTACTGACATCTTGTTTGTCTTTGCGGCATCCGATTGGCAAGCTAGCAACATGCAGGTTAAGTTAAATCACCCGTAGGTGTGGATGGTGGATGGTTGTCTCTATATGTCCTGTCACGTTGTACCCCACCTCTCGCTCAGTGTCAGGTATGATTGGCTCCAGCTCATATGATCCACGGTGTAGATAATGGTTGGTTTTTCAGTGTAGCCTGTCACCTCAAAGTAAGGCTCTTTTCAAAGTTTTCTGTTAAATCTCATCTCATGTCCATAGTCATATCATCTAGAGGGACGGCATTCTCACAATGTTTCTCTGGTTCACATTGCAGGGACAATGTTCCTTCTCTGTAAAAAATGATGGCGGTTGTTTCGTTTTCTTCTTTGACAGAAGTGATGATATATAAGCCACCTGCCATCTGGCTGATTTGATAGAGGCTTCCAGGTTGATTCAACTCTGTTTACAGTACACTGTGTGCTCTCTACATCTGGTGTGGAGCAGCGATCCATTTACAACTCGCTGCCAATGCCAAATGTGTGTGTCACCCTCCAAATGTGGTTATTGACTGGATCCTCCTCTTTGCTGGGTTCAGTTCACTCTGTATTGTGTGTATGTTTCCATTTTCATCCCACAGTAAAATCACAGTAACTGCACATTAATGTCAGATGGAAAGGTTTTCTATTACATATGAGGATTATGATGAGGTAAAGGTCATTATAAAAATGATGATGTCACAGAGAATGTCATTTGGTAATATCACATGTGCTTCTCTCATCTTAACATTAAGTAAATGCATAAAATATACGGCTATGAAGACTTGGTGGCATAAGACATGAAAAGTATGAGATGTGATGTATGAGAGACAGAGACAGACAAATGTCACTGGTGCTCAACAAAAACAAAAAAGACTGAGATTTGATGAAATGCTGCCAGAGAAGCAGCTGCATGGCACCCATCTTTTCTTGAAAAAAAGAAAGAAAAAGCTGGACTGTGTGTAGATGCTTCCTGTAACTTGTTTTAGTTGAAGATGGAAATGACTCAGATGGTTTTTTTTTTCTTCAGTCGCTGAGCGCTTTCACAGCTTTTAACCAGCGGTGTAGTCGGGACACATAAATATCAATAACCAGCCTGTGGTGTAAAGCACGACCAGTGCCTTCTAAAGAAATAGTGCTCCTCGTGGTCCAATGAATAGACCCTGTCGTGTGTCCAGCTCTCTGCCTGCCACAGTCGTTTATGGATTTAGTGTATTGGACACCTTGGAAAGTACGCTGTGTAATTCCACCTCTCTTTACATAGACTATAGAAGATTGATTTGATGTTGGCTATTGCGATTACAATCAAACATGTTTTAAAAGACAACTATACATGCAAGTTTTATTTAAATAAGGAGAAATAATTCATATTTTTTATGCTGTATCCATTGTAGGAGGCTTCTTTATAATTTTGTGCTATGTAAAAACATACAAAACTGTACAGAAGTCAAAACAAAGGTGGTGCCCAGAGTAGAGAGAGGGAGAATATGAAAACTATGCTTCTGACATCATGAATGACAATAAGTTCAACTTGTCTTTTTTTTGGGATTTTCAGTGAATGATGACCACAAGGCAACATTTTCCTGCAGTATAGACTTTTCTCGTTCAAATGTTATACGCTGTGTATATGTTATATGCCATGTAAACTGCTGACTTTGAGGCTACATGTGGTCTGTGGCCATGAAGTGCACACTTTATAAATAATTCTAGAATTATATTAGATATAAAATCACATAGAGTGGGGTCCAATAGGGGTCCATTCACTTAACTGTGCTCTATATGTGACAAAGTAAGATAGATATACCTAATAGAATTGTACATTTAGAATTAACACAAAACATTTCATTTGTGCCACCCTCACAACTACACACCTTTTTAAATTCCCAAAATGAAGAGGCATCGTAAATGTACAGCAAAAGTGACCACTCAAACAAATGGCTGACATTTAACAGCCCCAAAAATGGGGAAGTGAAGAAACTGGAGTCTTGCAGCCAGACGTTCATCTCTGATTGTCAGAAATGTGCCGCTCCCAGGCCACTGAGGGTGCCGCTGTATTTTACTCTGGCAGATTGAAATCCTGACATACAGAACATAATCTTCTAGAAGAATCCCAGAAGAGTGTAATCCTGTTAGACACCACACACACACACACACA